GTGTGTGTGGGTGCGGGCGGACGGACGGACGGGCGTGTGTTTGGCCTCCAAACTTTTTTGTCTTTTCCCGCTTCGTCTTCCGCCGCGTCCGAACAATCATGCCCGCTTCGTCTTTTCCGCGAAAAGAAAAGCGACTGCCAAACGAAAAAAAAAAGAAACGAAAAGAAAAGCGAGTGAAAAACGAAATAAAAAGAAATGAAAAGTCTTTTCCTGGAAAAGAAAAGCGACTGACAAACGAAAAAAAAAAAAAACCAAAAGAAAAGCGAGTGAAAAACGAAATAAAAAGAAAAGAAAAATGGAAAACGACGCGTTCTTGCTATCCGACGACGGACGCTTCGAGATGTTCCCTCTTATCAAGGTCTGCCGCTGCACGGCCTTGTGGGCGCGCTCTTTCGTTCTTTGGCGCGCTATGAACAATTCGGTACGCGCACCGCTCTGCACACAGCCGCTTCCTCGATCGCCTTCATCCCCCGGCCTGCATCAAAAGTTGAACCAGCGCGCAGCGGACCACCCGCCTCCTCCCGTGGCGAATGCTCCTTAAGGGTTAGGATAGGGTTGTCGACGTTCAGGTTTAGCCGAACCCCCGAATCCAAACCTGCCGAACGTTCGGCCCCCCCATGGGGATGCGTTCGGCCGCTTGGGCCGAACGAGGACCTAATAAAAAAATACAAAGTTAAAAATAAAAGTAAAAATAAAAGTAAAAATTAAAAATTAAAAATTAAAAACAGTTCAAAATTCCAAAAATTATGAAAAACATGTATGTTATGCAGAAAAATAAAACGAACAACATTTGCCTCAGCGTTACATCCGAATTCCTTACCAAATTTGAAGAAAAAAAAAGTACAAAAAATAAATAATATGAAGAAAAATAAGACAAAAGGAAAAGAGAATTAAAATCCGTGAGTGGGCAAGCACGTTTCGACACCGCCATCTTTGGGGATTTTCCATTTTTTCTTGGGATGGCCAAATATCCCGAAAATTAACAGATGTGTATTTCGCATAATATAAAGCTCATAAAAAAAAATCAAAAAATAATAAAATATTTGAGGCTCCAAAATCAAATTAAAAAAAAGTGAAAAGTGAAAAAAAACTAAGTGGTCGGGCACGTTTTGACACCGCCATCTTTGGCGATTTTTCATTTCATTTTGGCTTAGCAAAATGCCTTGAAAATTTATATCCATGTAGCGCATGTCATACAAAGCTCACAAAAAACAATTCAACAAAAAAAACTAATTTTTAGGCCCCGAAATATTTTTTGGCGGGGGACGAACCCCTTCACGTTCGAACCCCGAACGGGACTCCGAATGCCCTATCGTTCGGGGGTTCAGCCCAGAGGCCCCCGAACATTTGGCCTGGTAACCATGTATATATATATATATGTATATATATATATATATTTTAATGTATGTGTATGCGGGTTTTTTAGCATGTACGTATAGTACTCCTCATGTATGCATACACGGGTGCTACCTACTATCTTCACCCGAATGGAACGCTTGGTCATTACAGTTGTATTTGGTGCAACTTTCAGATAGATATAATGATAATGATCCTGCATTATATTCGGGTAAAGACGATAGTAAAATAATAACTACATAAACCAATCCAGTTGAATAAACAAAAAAAAATGCATTGCATTGACAAAAATTCACAAAATGAACGAATGACTAATAGATTGCATTATACAAGGAATGACTCATGCATTAATTGAAACATGTGAAATTGTTGGGCAGGTTGGCAAGGAAAAAAGGAAGGAAACCGAGAAGCAGATAAACAACAAGAATGAGACTAGTAAGGAGAAAAAAAGAAAACCGAGTGGCGACAAGAATAAAAACAACACCTATCCAAATATCCTTGTATTTATCAATTTGAGTATGTAATTGTTTCTCCCTTTATATCTTTGTCTATCTATCAATTCTGGATTGCATGCACGTTATGACCTTCACCTTTGTACATCTCCAAATTTATTTGATGATGAAAAAAAAAAAAAAAAAAAAGAATGCAGACCATCTTTGAAGACATGTTAAAAAAAAATGAAGATGACAACACATGAAAAAAAAAAAAAAAAATGACAAAACATGAAAAAGAAAACAGAAAAAGGTGGTGAAATTTTGGGGATTGATGATAAAGCAATAGATGATGTCCGACAATGGATGACCAAAAAAGAGAAAGCAAAAAATGACAACAAGTAGTTTCTAACATATAGATGAAAAAAGTGACAAAAGATAAAGTGTGATAAAACGCAATAGATGCCAATAAAAAGAAAAAGCGAAAAATATTGGCATGGCATACAACGCGAGGAGCAATAAAATGACACACAACGAACAAGAAAAGAAAGCAAACAATAACAGTGTAAGATTCCCAAATGCATGGATGACCATTAAGCAAGGAACAACGGCACGCCGCGAACGACAAAGAAGAAAAACAAAATGGCACCTACAAAAAGGAAATGCAAGAGAAGAGAGCGTCAATTTAGTGTCATCCAACAACTCGTACACAACCCCTGATTTCAGATCCGCGATCCGCAAAAGGAAATGAAGTAGTAATACCATAAATAGATGCCAACTGAATATTCGATTGTTTTTGACATTCAACTATTTCAAAATGAGAACTGATCCCCACCTGTGCGATTGGTCTATTGAGCAGAGCACATCCCTCAATGGAAACACAAATCACAAAGTGCTTGACATATGTAGTGCTCGACGGAGCACCACCTCGCCAGCTTCCCCCTCGGTTGACCTCATGTCATGAATTCTAGGGGATTTTATGAAGGTCATTTGTTAAGAATTGAAGTACGGCCGTAAATGTTCAGATCATGCAAATCTTTGAGGAGAAAGGAGGAGATTAAGAGTTGCAAAATTAGTAAATTACGTTCAGTATGAGAGGAGGAGGGACGGAGGACAAGAGCTTCAAGACAATGTAAGCTTGTGAGGAGGAACGGAGAGGAAGAGCAAAGGGAAAGAGTTCATTTGGGCACTTGGGACGTAACAAAGTCTCGAACAAGAGGAAAATAAGAGAGAAGCTGTTCTATAATAGTAACCTTGAGGAATGAGGACCTGGGAGCATTTTCGAGTTATCATAGTGTTGTTTCTTTGTTTTGTCCCCACAATCCGCTCCACCCTTGCTGCTGCCCTCTCCCTCTCTCTCTCTCTCCCTCTCTCTCTCTCTCTCTCTCTCTCTCTCTCTCTCTCTCTCTCTCTCTCTCTCTCTCTCTCACACACACACACACACAC